GGATGCAGGGATCGCTGGGGGAAATTCGCTGGTCTGGGCCATGCAGGAGGCCAGACTAGGTGACCATAATGGTCCCATCCCATCCCCCTTTTCTGCCCCCCCCCCAACACGCCCTCCTACCCTGTGGGTGTGTACAGCATGTCTGTGTATATGTGAGGGAGGGGGTTGTGGGAGGGCCCAGCACATCCTGGGAGCAAACTCAGTGCCCAGAAACACCAATGATGGGCCCCTTGGCAATCCGGAGACACACAGAACAGGGTGGAGGATGGGCAGTGAACACCCCATTCCCTTTAATCCGCCCCTTCCCCGATAGTTAGCGAGGGTGCTATCGGTCCACAGCCGCCCTCCCTCCCCCACGGTCACTAGAGGCTGCAGGTGGGATTGAGTCTGGGGGGGGGTGTCATCGGGGGAGGCAGTTTCTGGCCTCCCCCTTAAAAAATTCTCCACCCACTGGAACCCTGAAAGTTCTCAGTGTTGCCTGGCAACCGGAGCAGCGGGCGCTAGGCAACGCAGTTGCTAGGGAGCATGTGTGTGTGTAGGGGGTGATTGGCAGCTCTGACAGAGGCCTGGAAAATGGCACTTGACCAAATGAGCAGCCCCCCCCCCCCGCTCCCCCAAGTGCCAGGGTATTCGGGTTTGCCAATTTCGGGTGGACGTATTGCTGGAGATTTCATCACATGACATAATCGTTAATTAAAGATTAATCTTTAATTCCTGGAGACTCCAGGCCAATCCTGCAGGGCCAATCCCAGAGCTGGGAACAGACCCAGAAGTCCTGCTTCCCAGCCCCCGGTATATTCACTCCCCCCAATTCCCTAGCCAGTGTGGGGAGCGGCGCCCCCCTCCCATGCCCTGCTCCCCAACCCTGCGTACCGTCCCCAGTCCCCCCCTCCCCGCCACAGCCACCCTGCCAGCTCTGCATGCCAGCAGCACGGTGGCCCTGCCCAGAGCTGGGCACCCACCAGAAACATGCCAAAGGGGGGACCCTGGTACAGCCACCCCCCACCCCCTGTCCAATGCCCTGTACCACCACACCCCCCACGCTCTCCTGCCCCTAAAACAGCCCCTCCTCCAGCCCATCCCCAATACACTGTACTCCCCCCCCCCGTTCACCTCCTGCCACTAAAACAGCACCCACACCCCTGCCCTTCCATTGCCCCCCGCCCCATTTCGGGCACTGACACAGTACGCTGCAACTATCCATTAGCAATGGATTCCCAGACACATTCAGAGCAGAGATGGAGGGGAGAGAGGGGAGAGGTAACCCCCCCCACACAAGATCCCCTGCATGTGACAGATCTCCAACCAAGCTGGCCATGGAAAGCAGCCCCAAAGAAAGGGGGCCAAACCCCTGAGCCAGACAGTCCCTGGGGCTGGATGGGAGCTGGTTCCCCCTAGAGGGGAAAGGCCCATGCTCCCCCCTCTCTCCCCCAGCAGTCCCAGGGCTGGGACATGTTGGTGGGGAGGTGTGGCACTAAAACCCCCTTGGGTAGGCCCCCCATTCCACAGTGGGGCACTTGCCCCACAGCAGGCCCTTTGGGCACCCCATATAGTGGTCTCTGTGTGTCTGTGTCCGTGCAGGGGGGGTTGTTAAATCCATTACCCAGGGGGGAGGGTCTGTAGTTTATATCCAGCATCCCCAGGCTGACAGGTGAGTTGGGGGCAACGGAGCCTGTGTGGGGCGGGGAGATCAGGGACCCCAGTCTAAGGTCAGGGCCAATTCACCAGGATCTCCAGTAGTTGGCCTGGGAGATCACACCAGCTCCACACCCGCCTGGCACATGGGCACACACACTGCGCCTTAGCTGGTAATTAACAACCGAGCTGCCCTGAGCTGTGATCCCCGCGTAATCTCGTTAATTGGATCCTCCTTAAAATCGGCCGGGGGTGGGGGAGGAAGACTGGCTGGGGTGGGTTCCTTCTGACCCTTTGCAGCCCAGAGATCCCCCTCTGCCTCCCCCCTCCCAGCTGGTGACCCCCTCGGGCATGGGACAAGCTTCCCTTGTATCATTTCACCCCAGGCTGGGCTGCCCCTGGGATAATGCAGCCCCGGGTGCTTATCAGGTGTCCACTCGCTGGGGTGTCCCTGGATTTCCTCCCCTCCCCAATTCTACTGCAAATTAACTCCTCCCAACCTAGCTCCCCTCCCCCCTCCAGCTCTGGCCCTTCTCCCTGCTTCCCTAACAGGCGGCAGATGGCGAGAGGTTTGCAGATGCCCCACGGAGCAGGGGACAGATGGAGGCACCAGCCGGCCGAAAATGCCACCGTTTAGTAACTGCTAAATGTTTGAATTAATCCCCCTCCGAGTCCCCCATGGCTCCCGGTTGCCTTTCAGGCCCAAAGCCAGCGATCACCCAGGGGCCCCCATTCACGTTATGGTGAAATAAATTTCTCTGGCGCCTTTCTAAGGAGGCGATGGGCCAGGATTGAGGGGCATTCACAGGAGGTCGGGGTTGAGGCGCATCGCCAGAGCTGTGGGGGAAGCAGAGCTGGGATAGCAGGGGGTGCAGGTTGCGATTAAGGGCCTTAGCAGAGATGGAAGGGGTAGCAGGGCCAGGGTAGCAGAAGGGCTGCAGGTCAGGGGTGAGGAGCATTGCCACAGCTGGGTTGGGGGAGCAGCTGGGACAGGTCAGGATCAAGGGGCATTGACTGAACTGGAGGGGGGGAATCCAGGGCTGGGATAGCAGGGGGCTGTGGGTCAAGATCCAGGGGCATCGGCAGAGCTGTGTGGATAGATTTGGCAGCCAGCCTTTTGGTGGGTGCCCCAAATAAAGGGAACATTCCTCAAACCCCTCTGCTCTCCCCAGCCCCATCAGCGCTTGGGGCTCCAGCCAAAGGGTGTGTCGGTCTTATATAGCCCAGTCAGTGCAGGTGAACTCGGGTCCAGTGCTCAGGGCACGGGGTGGCGCCGGACGCCTGGGTTCTATCCCAGCTGGGAGGGAGTGGGTCCAGTGCTCAGGGTAGGGGCTGGGGCCTAGACGCCTGGGTTCTATCCCAGCTGGGACGGGGTGGGTCCAGTGCCCAGGGCAGGAGGTGGCGCCGGACGCCTGGGTTCTATCCCGAGCTGGGGGGGAGGGATCCAGTGCTCAGGGCAGGGGTGGGCCCGGACGCCTGGGTTCTATCCCAGCTGGGAGGGGGTGGGTCCAGTGCCCAGGGCAGGGGGTGGCGCCGGCCGCCTGGGTTCTATCCCAGCTGGGACGGGGTGGGTCCAGTGCCCAGGGTAGGGGCTGGGGCCTGGTCTCTATCCCAGCTGGGAGGGGGTGGGTCCAGTGCCCAGGGTAGGGGCTGGGGCCTGGTCTCTATCCCAGCTGGGAGGGGGTGG